AAACAGTCGTAGGCTTACACATTAGTATATAACGTTGTTGATAAATTCCAAGTTCATGTGTTGTTTTTACACTAGGCACAAAGTAGAAACTGGGGTCTCATCTCAGAAGCATAATTAGGAAAGAGCCTTGGATTATTAATTGAAAATTAGTACTGGTTCTGCCAGTGGTTAATTATGTGATTTTGACCGAATGGCTTAATTTCTCTGGTGTCAGTTTCCTTAGCTGTCCAACCAACAGGGCATGGACTGTATGATTCATCTTTTTCCCCCACATAAATTTTATTTCTTTTAACTTTTTTTTTTATTTTTTATTTTTAGACGTAGGGTCCTGCTCTGTCACCCAGGCTGGAGTGCAGTGGCATGATAACAGCTCACTGTAACCTTGAACTCCTGGGTTCAAGTGATCCTCCCACCTTAGCCTCCTGAGTACCTGGGACTACAGGCGCGCACCACTATTCCTAGCTAATGTTTATATTTTTGGTAATGATGGGGTCTTCTATGTTGCCCAGGCTCGTTTTGAACTTCTAACCTCAAGCGATCCTTCCGCCTTGGCCTCCCAAAATGCTGGGATTATAAGTGTGAGCCGCTGTGCCTGTCCTTAGTGCTTTTTGAATCAGTAATACATTATCATGGTTCAGAATTGAATTCAGCCGTGAAAATTATGTCTTCCTTACCATCCCCCATTCTGATATGTCTTTTACACAGGCAACCAATGCAATTATTTATTTCTGTAGTGTTACAGGAATGTTTTATGCGTATAAAAGCAAATGCACAGTATATCTCTGCTCCCCCCACTTTTTTTTTTTTTTTTAAAGAAATAACATGCAGAACATACTAATTTTTCTATGGAATACATTTTGGGAATTATTTTTCCGTATTAGTTACGTTTCATTTCCAGATGAGTACCTACTTATGACTAAATACATTCGAATAGATAATAGCTGAAATTCAAAAAACGCAAGAATCTTCTCTGGTTCTCCCACCTCCCTAGGTACAGGTGGTTTTGAGTCGACAGGTGTTCCTTCCTAGAGGAAAGCAGGTGCTTAAGGCTGGTGCTGTTAACCTAGTTGGAGTATTTGAGAAAGATTCTACAAAGAAAATAATGCAGACACATTTCAGCTAGCTCCTGGGAATAACCAAATGGCTAAGGTATTTATGTATGAAATAAGAATAGTTGGAGGGTACGTAACAAGGTGGAAATAGATCAGATTTCACATAGGTAATTCTGAGATGGACGGCATGAGGCTAGGAGTAGGAATTAGATAAAGTGGTCTTGGGAGCTTCAGAAACTGCTTGTCTGTCTCCAGATACTTAGCAAATATTTGTTAGGTACACGTTATGTGCCAGACTTTGTGAAGCAGAAAGGGTTCCTGGGCCCAAACACTCGTAGTTTCAGCTGATAAAGTCCAGCTGCTTTAAAACCTGAACCCTGACACGTGGGAGGAGCAGTAGAAAACAGGAAGGAAAGAAAGTAGAAGGAAGTTTACAGAAGTAAAGAGGAGGAGAAAGAATGGTAGAGATTGTCTGAAGTGGTGGCAGTTTGAAGTATGGCGATAACTGTGGGACTCCCAGAGACGCACTTGGTAGCAGAGAGCCTGAGGGTGTTGGGGTGAGGAAGCCAGAGCAGCCTGTTACCCGGCTGGGGCCGGGGCGGGGCGGCAGAGGAGGTGCATGCTGAGAGCAGAGAGGAAGAGCAGCCACATCGTGGAAAGATTTTTATTCAAAACATAAAAATAAAAACAGATAACAAAGTTTGAGGGTTGGCTCTGTTACTGTAGAAACTGAAACTGATGTCTCATTCTAATATTAAAAATACTTCATCAGGATTTATTGATAACTGAGCTCTTAAAATGCACAGTGCTTCAGAGTTTGTCATGAGAAGCAGATTTCAGTGAACTCCATGGTGTAAATGCAGTAGGATTTATTGATCTTGGCTTCCTGTCCCAGAGAGAGACATTCGTATAAGAGAACCACCCAGGGTCTTTAGATGGGGATAAAAGACCTTCGACGTTAAGACTCAGCTGGTTATCCTGGTCTGCTGGTCTTCATCTGGGGAGAAGAACAGTTTCTAAGGTAGCTTGTCTGGTCCCAGATCATGACAAGCCGGGCCCGAGTGTGGGTATGGGATGGCGTGATTGCGGAGTGAGGGCACGAGGAGTCAGGGTGGGCCGTGGGGAGATGACGTGTTCCCAGTCGTCGGTACACTTCTGTTCCGGCACCGTCAGGAAGCATTGTCTTACTCGTTCTGCACAACTCTGAGATAGGCTTTATTATTTTGGGGGTAGTAGACAGACAGCTATTACCATATTCTATTTAGAAACTTTATTTATGTGAAGAGTTAGATCGATTTGGATGCTAGTATCCAAATTACTTTTTCTAAAGGCAAAAAGAGCCGCTCAAACATTTTCTGATCATTGTACAATCAGTTTTGTTTAATTTTGATAGTAAATTTAGAGTTCTTGGTAGCAGAAAGGGTGGATAGTTAAAGTGAATGGTGGTCATATTTTTATGTATAAGGCGACCGTCTGGGTAAACTGCCTTAGCAGTCTACATGTGAAACCCCACAGCGATTTACCCCTGTCTTCTCAGGAGGCAGAAACAGATAGCTGGAAAATGTTGTTCTGGATGCACTCTTAGATTCGATAATGTCTAAACGCAGGCAGCTTTGTGCTTGTGCTTGCGTGTGTGTGTGTGTGTGTGTGTGTGTGTGTGTGTGTGTATATGTAGAGGGGCAGCAGAGAATACCTGTTCTGACTTGGGAGACACAGGAATGTTTGCTGCCAAAGATCTCATGTGAAGTTCTCCTTTTAGCTGCTTTTAAAACATTCAGCTGCCCTCTGGAGGGCTGTCCCATCAGGAGGCCGCCATTCATGTGATCCTGTCTTTCTGAGACCACAGCCCCTGAGCAGTCTGATGTTCTCTGGGCCGCAGAGCCCGCTGGGACAGTGGAGGTGTGGCTGCAGTTTCAGCAGGGCCCATTCTCTCCGGCAGCCCAGCCTTGGCCCCCCTCAGGTGACAGCCTCACCTAAGGACACAGGAATCCAGTGCACTTCTTCGGAACGGCACACACTCTGGGGACCGAAAGTTTGAATGAACTTGAAGACGTGGTGCTGGTGGAGGAAGGGGGTTATTCTGAGGCCCAGGAGCTGCCTAGAAAGAGCCCCCAGCAGAAGGAAAGCAGAGGAGGTGTGGCCGGCACAGGCCCGGCCTGGCAGGAGGCGGGAGGGCTGGGCAGGGCCTTCCCCAGCAGGAGAAAGAGCTGCCTGTGCAGCAGTGTTCCCTGGGCAGAGTGACAGCCTAGACAGGCTTTGGATTGTGAAATTATGCTCCGTGTGGGCACTCAAATGTGGTTTTTTTACACATTTACAAACAAATTATTGTTTTAGGTTTGTCTTTAAACCAAATTAATATTATATTATCACTGTTTGGAAGGAGGGACTTTTGAAAAAGTAATTTGTTATGTTCTGAGCTTCGTTAAGGAGAAAAGATAAAAAACTTTTTCTGGACAAGCCTTAATTCATAAGTAAAACAACGTTGGTTTTTCAATTTTAAATGTAAAGTTCCACGTCTCAGGATTATATTATCAATTGCAATAAATTAAATCCCTTCTTATTTTTGAGTAGCATGTTAAGTAGTTTCAACATAGAGTCTGTGAAAATTGTTTTATTCTACATCCTGACATAGCTTTTTAATTTTGCATTTTAGAAATTAAGTTGAGGAGCTCTTTGATTACCGTATTCAGCCTTTAGGTTAAAACACTTGCTAGTGAGTTCTTAAAACACAATTTTCAACAGATATTTTTCTTGTTCCTTGTTAACCTCCAAACTATTTCTTACCATGCTACATTCTTTTCCAAAGGTAAAAATATATCAATTGATATGATCCCAACCAGCATTTTGTTTGGTCTGGGGAGTCATAAAGCATTTTGCTATTAGTTTCAGTGTAGAAATTTTGAAAGTTTGATCTTTGAACAGAATGTGAATATGGTTAAGGACATATAGAATACAAATTATGTATATCTTTTTCTTAGTGGATTCATCATTGTTGTGTATGAAGCTGCGATCTTTTGAATTACATTAGCATTTCCTGAACCTGGAATTTGCCTTTTCTCAAGGATCCCTTGCTAAGTTCCTTCAGTCCTCTCTGCTGCACCTCCTACATCCATCCCCCCTCCCGTTTCCCCAGCTCCCCTTCTTTGGGATTTCACAGTCCTTGCTAAGAGGCAGATTCCACCAAGGCCAGGAGACAGGGCAAAAATTGGAACTGCAGGCTGTTGTCTTAAAGCAGGGGTTTAAAGGTTTATAGAAAATGTTGAAAGCCTGTATGTACCACTCAGGCTTTTGAGAAGTAGGATCTTTCTTGAGCTCCTTGGGTCTTCAGCTTAACCCCTGCCCTACTCTCAAATTTCTGAGGTCTAATATTTTTGGATCAAATTTGATACAAAGAGTTGTGTGCAATATATTTCTAGTCCTTGTATAGTTAAGGTGTATTATTTATGCCCAAATGATAGACTTGGAGTATATTTACTTATTTTAAAGAATTGTAGAGATTTAGGACATCTTTGTTTTATGACATACTTGACAAGTTTTGTGATTGTTCTGTGATATGTTATTTGTCCTCTTTAGTCTCACTTGAAAGTACTTTTAAGATTAAAGCGGTTTACCTGGGTGGGTTTATGGAAACCCTTTGTGAAAACTGACGACTGTCCAAGACGTTGCCATCCCTTGTCTTCCTGTATGCCCTGACTATGTGAGAGAACAAAATTTTTTCTTTCTGACTTCGTCTTGCTTTGCAGCACTTTTCACAGATAGCTTGATAGTGAATTAGCATTTAAAGGCTTTAGTATTTGTACTAGAGTTTTGTTGACTAGGTGATTTAAGAAACAACGTGGATTATTGATCTACTCACAAAGTAGTGAGGAGGTGACATGCCTCCTTGGCTGTAGTGATTTTGAAACAATATTAGGGAGGTTTGCAGGGTTTAAGAAACAGCATCAAGGGATGCGTGCGTGTGCGTGTGCGTGCGTGCGTGTGTGTGTGTGTGTGTGTGTGTGTGTGTGTGTGTGAAGCCTCAGGAATTTGGTCTCAGGTTTCTAAAAATCCTACCAACAAGAACTTAGAATTCTGTAGTCCCCCATTTCGGTCATCTCAACACTTCCATCTCTAACTTTAAAATAAAGCGTGTCCATTTCTAAAACGCAGTCTATCATTAATTTTATCTAAAGTCTCTCATAAATCTCTGACATATTTGGTTTTTAAATAATAACCAAATAATTTAGTTTTATTTATGTAATAAGAATAATACCTGGTATTTATTGTCTATACTTATGCAATTTTATAGATGGAGTTTTAACATTGAATGCGGAGAACACTAATTATGCCTATCAAGCTCCAAACTTCCATAAATGTGAAATCTGTCTGCTATCTTTTCCAAAAGAATCCCAGTTTCAACGCCACATGAGGGACCACGAGCGCAATGACAAGGTACGTATTGCCAGGAGGGCTGTCAGGAATGTGAGCGTTGAAACTGGAGGTATTGTAAAATTCAACACACAAAATCAAAATTTGTCTTACCATTTAGGTTCCCAAATTTTAGAATATTTTATATCATACAAATAAATATTTGGGCATTTTTTTTTTTTTTTAGCTGTAGTCGTCTTGCTAGCTATCATTAGATAATGAGAGAAAATGAGAGCTCGTCCTAGTGAGTCTATATATTTGTGTTATTTATGAGTGGACAAAGAAATGCTTTAGAAATATGACTTTTTTTTAGTAGTTTAAATTTCCTGTATGATGAACACAGAACTAGTGTATTCTGAAGTATTCTTCTCCAGCAGGGAGTTTTACCCTTCAGTGGTCTTGCATTTTAAAGTGGTATTCTAGGTGTTTTAGATCCTGTCTCCGCAGGATATCTTAAACAGAGATGTGAACCCTGTTTTGGAGTGTCTCTTGTGGGATAGGTCAAGAATTTTAGTGTCTTAATGGAATGATTTGCCCGATAGATGGAAAGTGGCAGTTAAAACTATAACTAAACAAGTGATTGCCAACTTTTCTTTAGGCAGGACAATGGAAGGTATTGAGTCATTTGAGACCAGAAAAATACCAGGGATCAGGCTTTACTTTCAGCATGCGTAATGCTTTTTAACTACAGTAATATAATATGAACACCAATACCCACTGGCATTATTTTCGCAAGTTGACAATCTACAGATACTGACTTACCCCTCATTAGGGTTTGGATACTTCAGAGAGATACCCGTGATTATCTTGCTATAAGAAGAAGAATACCTTCCATTTTGGGAAATTTTAGACTGAGATAAGCAACTCCATTAAAACCTAGTAAAAATTTATATGATTACTTGTTTTACTTCAAGTGATTTTGTTTGTAACAGCGGAATTGGTCAGAAATAGAAGGGAAAATTCTAACTTAATGAGTTGAACTTTCGCACATGTATCTTCATAGAGATTATAACCCTATACATTTACATGCATCATTTCTTATTAGGAATATTTTCTACATATATGTGTTTTCATCCTTAAAATCCTTTGAGAAATTCTATAAGGAGCTTTACTGAGTCCATTTTGGATTTATTGACTTCAGGTCTGTTAGAGACTTCAGAAGTTTTTTAGTATCTGTAGAATATGGTACTTGTTACTATTTTAATAACATTGACTGAACAAGCGTCTGTGGAAAGATTGTATTTCAGTGGCTTGTTTACTTTTCTCTCCAAATAGCCACATCGATGTGACCAGTGCCCCCAAACATTTAATGTTGAATTCAACCTGACACTTCATAAATGTACCCACAACGGGGAAGATCCTACCTGCCCTGTGTGTAACAAGAAATTCTCCAGAGTGGCTAGTCTCAAAGCGCATGTTATGCTACATGAGAAGGAAGAGGTAACTGTAATCATTTTGCATATGCTTTGTTAACTGGTTGTTAAAGTGCATCGGATCGTTAGGAGGATTTTAGCTATAAACTAGTTTTAAAAGCCTTTCGTATAGATTTTTAGAGCTAATCATCATTAAATTTGCCTTGATTAATCTCCAGTTCACTGATAAAATGTTTATCACAGTCAATACCTTAGGGTAGAGACGTTTTAATATGTCCACATTAGCTGGCAGAGCCCCCCCCCCCCACATTTTTTAAAAAAAGAAATTAACTTTTGTAGAGTTCTTCAGTGGCCAAAAGTAATTTTTCTGCTTCAGAAGATAGAAGCGGAGTCTCCTTGCTTGGCTTTGGGTCCTCTGACCGGAGGGAGTCTGGGGGAAGAGCAGAAATTCACAGTGGCCTGAAGCTGGTTGGTACACCAAGGCGCAGGCTCCTACAGGCTCCGTGGGCGCCTCTGGGGACAGCCCTGAGGGTGGCAGGACCACAGTGCTGAGGTGGGGTGGGGCTGAGCCGAGGCAGACGGCTGTTGCTTCAAAAGCGTACTCTTCCTGCTTCCTGCCCCTCTTAGGAAAATGTAAAAGTAAAAAGGAGAAAATAAAAGTCATCTTTAATTCTGAGATAGTTACTGATAGCTGTTTGGTATATTTTCTTCCTGAGACAGAAAAACAGATGCATGATTGAAATTGCGTGTGCAGACGGTGGCTGACTCACGGTGGCTGACTCACGGTGGCTGACTCACGGTGGCGTGAGAGCGCCGCACGTTCAGCGGAACCGCGCTTGTCCTGTGATGCCGAGCAAGCCGCGGTCCCAGGCAGCCGGGAACTTTTGGCTTTCGGTATTTTCAGTCTGCAGTGGGTTTATCAGGATTAATCCCATCCTGAGTCAAGGAGCATCTTGACTCCTAAAATTTACATCCTGAAAATTGAATTCATACTT